TTACCTATTTTGAATAAAGCTGTGATGAACATCAGTGTGCAAATATCTCATCAAGACCCTGTTTGCTATTACTTTGGATATATAACCAGAATATTAACACAGTAAAAAGGCAACCCAAGAAACTGGAGAGAATATTTGCCAATTATATACCTGATAAGGAATGAATATCTAGAATACATATAGAGGGGTTACAACTCAACAACAACAACAAATAAAAAACCCTATTCAATAATGGCCAAAGGACTTGAATAGACATTTCTCCAAAGAAGATACACAAATGGCTTATGAACTCAAGAACAGATGCTCAACACCAACTAGTCATTAAGGGCATGCAAATAAAAAGCACTATGTACTACCACCTCACACCAATTAGGATGAATACTATTAAAAAACAAACAAACAGAGAATAAAGTGTTTTCAAGTGTGTGAAGAAATTGGTACCCTTGTCCACTGTAAGTGGGATGTAAAATGGTACAGGCTCTTGGAAATACAATATGGCAAGTCTTCAAAAATTTAAAAATAGAATTCCCTAATTTCCATTTTGAAAGAATTTTTTTGCATTACATTTTAAAATATTTCACTTATGGAAATTGTGCTTGTATACCTTACAATTTATAGTCAAAATAAAAAATTTATTGCTTTTCTTGTTTGTAAACAGAAAAAAGTTATAGTTTTTAAAAATTTATTTTCCATGTTTTTTTTTTTTGGAAATATTTGTTTGAGTAAGAGTTAATAATTAACATAAGAACATATAAACCCAAAATATTCACATCTGTTTATTTTACTAATTTATTTGCTTAACATTGCTTTTGTTATACATATGATATCACTGGTGATATACATATGATATATATGCCATATATTGATACATATATAAAACATTGATACATGATATATATTGATTATATATCACACATTTTATATAAGATCTATATATATCAATTATATATAGTTTAAATATACATAATTTAATATACATCAATAGAAATTGATGATATATATTATTGAGTCTTTGTTTTCCTCCAGAGTAACTAGTACTTTCTTCAGATGGCCATGGATAATGCTGAGTGTCTCACTGAGAAATGAAAATTCCACCTTCCCTCTTTCAGTCACAGCTGAAGAAAACAATAAACTGAGTGTGGAACAGTTTGCGTGCCTGTCTGTTTTTCTCTCTCCTCCACCCCTGAGCCTGAGCCTGCACTTCTGTCATTCCAGGGCCCTTACCTGAAGGTGGTCATCTTAAGCAGGACATTTCCACCTACACTCAGCTCCTGAGCTCTTCTCCCCGGCTCTCCCACCACCCACTTGGGGTTACTGTGGGGTTAGCACCTACTGCTCTTGTTCAGGAAGGGCTCTGGGTGGTGGGCCGTGTTCCTCCTCCTGGTCCTTCTCATCAGACTTGGCTGACTGGGTGCAGCCTCAGTAAATCCAGCTATTTGCCCACCTGACCCTCCCCGCGACCCTGAACCAGGCTTCTGTGAGAGGCTGTGTTCGCTTTGGAGGCTGCACTTTATTTAACTCCAGGCCTCTTGCTTTACCCACCACCTTTCTCTTGCCCCTCTGCTGGGTGACCCATAGGACAAGTCAGTGACCAAACTATAGGGGTTCACTTGCCTGCGTGCAGCAAAATCCAATGCACACAAACAGGAGTTTGCAGCAAAGAAAGTAAAGGTTTATTTAAGGAATGATGCCAAGCTGGGAGACAGTCAGGTCTAAGACCTGGCTCCCCAGTGGCCTCCAGAGGATAGATTATATAGGGAAATAATCATTAGTCATGGTGGTGAAGGGAATTGAGGTCATGAGTTCTAGGCATAGTTGATCTTTGCATCTGGTCCTGATGTCAGCCATGTCATTGTTCTTCCTGGTTTCGTGAGGGTGTGGTCAGTAGGGCCATTCAGCTTTCATGGGCCTGGGGCTGAAACAAAACTGAAGTGAAGATA